TGTTAGGCTCAAACATCTGGATTCGCATGCACAAACATGCACGCACACGCGCGCACACGGGGGTGCAACTATAGATTATTTGGTCGTCGATTAACCTGTCTGATTTCTCTTCGATTATTTGTGTGCTGAGTGCAGTCTGGGCAGGTGATGCAGCGATGCTGCCCCCACAGCTTCCTGTGGTGTACTGCAGGTACAAAAACACATTTATGAGGTTTTAGCATGCGACGTGTCAACGTCATGGAGTGCGGCGACGTGCGCACAGGGACTCTGTCGCACGGAAACATGCTGCACATAAAAGTGTGAGCATCACATGGTCCTCATAGTGAGTGAGGGGTTCAGCAGCTGTTACCATGGTGATTTAAACGGACACATTAACGTGTGATCTTCACGCAGATGTTTCTGTGGAAGCTGCTGTGCATCAGCGCATTTATTTCAAACTAAATAAATCTGTGTGTTGGTTTTGTGAGCGAGGTCGCTGCGGTGGGCTGTTGGCTGCTCTGGTTTCACACGTAGAATTCTGTCTGTGAAAACACGTCGTAGGATTTATTTTCAGATGACGTTTGGAGTCGTGCGCTCCATCTTGTTCCGGCGTCCGTCGGCTGATGAGCTCTGCGTTTGTCTCCTGCAGAAGTTCAAGCGGGACCCGTACGTCACCACGCTCGGCGGCTTCTCCAAAGTCACAAACTACTTATTCGACGCGCTGCGGGGGATGGAGGAGCAGCAACAGCGCCCCCCAGAGGAGGTGGCCGACCTGCTGGGCGAGGTCATCCCGGGGCTGGAGATCAACCAGCAGGAAGAGCCGGGCTTCGAGGTCATCACCAGGGTGAGGGGTCTAATGTGATTGGCTGTTAGGCAGACGCGTGGCAGCGGGTGTGTCAGCCGTGTGATGCTCTTTGCTCACCTTTGACCCCGTCAGATCGACCTGGGCACGAGGCCCGAGGTGAGCAGGAAGTCGCCGCTGACTGCAGACGACTGGGCGCGACACCAGGATGCAGACGGGAGGATGAAGGATGTCCCAGACCTGAAACACGCCGTCTTCAAGGGGGTACGTACGTGTCTGTGGGTGTGTCCAGCTCTGAACCAATCAGCTGACGTGATTCTTAGCAGCATCACTCATTTATTCAGTTTTGGGCTGTTTGATCTTCACTTTGGTTTTTATGCCTGAGTTTACTGTAAAGCACTCGTTGGTGTTTTGACCTGTGACACTGATTGAAACGAGCAGAGACCACGCCCTGACGCGTCTGTGTCGTCTGCAGGGTCTGTGCCACGCCCTCAGGAAGGAGGCCTGGAAGTTCCTGCTGGGGTATTATCCCTGGGAGAGCACGCACGAGGAGAGGAAGACCCTGCAGAGAGAGAAAACGTACACACACACACACACACACACACACACACACACACACCTGATTACCCTGACTGGTGTGTATATCATGTTAACATGAGGGGTGTGTGTGTGTGTGTGTGTGTCAGTGATGAATACTTCAGGATGAAGCTGCAGTGGAAATCTGTGAGTGAGGAGCAGGAGAGGAGGAACTCCAGACTGAGAGACTACCGCAGTCTGATCGGTGAGCAGCACCTCGGCTCAGGCCTTGTTTGGTTATTTGGGCGGGGCTCCTGATGGAGAGCAGTCCAGTGTAGCGGGTGGATGACGTCACATTTGAAGGTGTTTGTGATGTTTGATGTGCCAAAGAATCAGAAGCATTGATGAGCGATTGATTCTTGCTCTGATGCTGGAGATGATGTCAGCGTGGAGTCGGGTGCAGCAGGTGGGTGAGATCGTAACACTGTCGCCGGGATCAGATCTGAGGCGTTACCTGTAAAGTTAAAGGAGTTTTTACGTGTGAAATACTGCAGTACGGGGAGTGAACGCAGTACTTCAGTGAGGTACTCGAGTGAATGCTCAGTTACTGCCGCGGTGAGGTGGAGGGAGAGCTGCGGGAGTTGAGCAACGACCGCTTTGGTCTTCTGAGTTGGGTGGTACAGCTTGCCGTGAGGGGGTAAAGGTCAAAGGTCATGTGACGTATGTGTCTGCGCTCTCAGAGAAGGACGTGAACCGAACAGACCGAACGAACCGCTTCTACGAGGGCATCGACAACCCGGGCCTGGTCCTGCTGCACGACATCCTCATGACCTACTGCATGTACGACTTCGACCTGGGTGAGCGAACGCTTTGCCTCCGCAGGTACGGCGCCGCTTCCCGTTTCCTGGTCGTGACAGGAAGCTCTCTGTGTTGCAGGTTACGTTCAGGGCATGAGCGACCTGCTGTCGCCCATCCTCTACGTCATGGAGAATGAGGTCGAGGCTTTCTGGTGCTTCGTGGCCTTCATGGACCAGATGGTGAGTCTGATCTTTGCTCTGACAGCTCGGACGTTTAACCGCGTGCTGATTTACCGCCGTGTGTCCTGCAGCACGAGAACTTTGAGGAGCAGATGCAGGGCATGAAGACTCAGCTGATCCAGCTCAGCTCGCTGCTCAGGCTGCTCGACCTTGCCTTCTGGAACTACCTCGGTACGCCGCCTGCAGCTGTGCGTGTGTGTTTGCTGTGAATAGCGGCGGCTCTGAATGACTCCGCCCCCTCTGTCTGTGTCTCAGAGTCTCAGGATTCAGGATACCTGTATTTCTGCTTCCGCTGGCTGCTCATCAGGTTCAAGAGGGAACTGAGCTTCGTGGACGTGCTGCGGCTCTGGGAGGTTGGTGTCCTCCTGCGGGGTCGGAGGTGCTGACAGGTGTCGTTCTTCCTGTGGTCTCACGTGTGGTTCATCCTCAGGTGATGTGGACCGGGCTGCCCTGTGAGAACTTTCACCTGCTGGTGTGCTGCGCCATCCTGGACTCAGAGAAGCAGAAGATCATGGAGGAGAACTACGGCTTCAACGAGATCCTGAAGGTGAGCATCGCCCCAAAGCTGCCCGGAGATCTGTGCACACCTGAGATTGTTCACCGACCTGTGTGTTTCAGCACATCAACGAGCTCTCCATGAAGCTGGACATCGAGGAGATCCTGCAGAAAGCTGAGGGCATCTGTCTGCAGATCAGGAGCTGCAAGGTGAGTGCAGGGAGCGTCTTCTGTCATGGTACGTCCATCTGACCCCTCACCCTGACCTGTCTGCTCCTCCTCAGGACCTCCCTCGCCCTGTCGCCACCATCTTGGGCTTTGACGTCGAGTCTCGCCGTGCAGGCTCGACCGATTGCGGCTCGGCGGCGACTTCCGGAGCAGCTCGGCGGGAGGTTGGCGTCTCCAACGGACACTCGAGAGAAAGCAGCTGCGAGCAGAGTGGCAGAGGGGCCTTTGTATCGTAGTGAAGAGTGGAGATGGACTGTGTGTGGGCGGGGTGAATCTGTGGCCCCGCCTCACTGGAGGAGGGTGTGTGTGTGTGTGTGTGTGTGTGTGTGTGTGTGTAAAGAGATTATTAAGAATCTTATTTTTGTAATTTCTTGTATCGTGCGGCTCTAATCGGGCATTCCTCCACTCTGAAGCCTCATTCATCCTGATGAAGAGGAGGTGGAGCCAACCAGTGACTGAGCAATCATTCACCTGTTGGCTCCGCCTCCTGAGTGTTACAGATATGTTAAAGATAGGGTTAGGGTGGAGCAGTTGTCTGGCTGTAGTTTGAATGAATGAGGCTTCAGATCCAGGAAGTTCTGCCAACAAGAGCCCTGATTGGCCATGCAGTGACAGAGGGAGGAGCTCTTTCTGTTGACAGGAGGTGCCTGTGTTCCTCTTCCTGTTGGCGCTCTGACGTTTTTCTCTGTACTGAGATCAGATTAAAGACTCCACGTCATCAGCTTCTGTCACCATGACGACGGCGAACAAACCAAAGAAATAAAGTTTGTTTCCTGCAGCGTGAAACCGTCTCAGCTGTGACATCTGGATCACACTCACACACACAGTTTCCTCTCAGGGTTGAAACACTGAATCTGGTTCATGTTGTGAGTGCAGACGACCTCAGCGTCCAGCATGGCTCCACCTGAGGAACGCTAACAGGTGGTGCAGTAGAGCTCTTTGGTCTGCATCGCCTGCCTGATGTAACGAGGACACAGCTCCGTAATGCTGTAGCCTTACCCAGGCACTAGGGGTGCAACGATACTGGTACCGATATTGAACCGTTCGATACAGTGCTTTCGGTTCGGTACGCATATGTATCGAACAATACAACATTTGTAATTTATTTTATCAACTTTCCTTCTGACAATGCTGTCTGTGTTGAGCGCTCAGTGAATCTGCGTTCGACTACTCCGCCTAGGCTGCACTGTCGAGCGCAGATCCACTGAGCGCAGCACAAGCTAGCGAGACAGAAGTTAAGCTCTCCTTGCAACATGGACCTCCCCCACTCTCATTCAGATGTGGCGTTTGGAACTATTTTGGTTTTCATGTGACGTATGACCCTGAAGGTAAGCGAGTCATGGACTAAAGTAAAACAGTATGTTGGATGTGCCACGCAATGCTCAATTACATGGGTGGGAGCTAGTGCGTTAGCGCAGTTAACTCATTAACGTGTTGGCCGTCCAGCCCCACGCACGGGGCGATCCGCGGTAGCTCGTTAACGGAGATTTGCCGTGTTGTGGCGTTAACGTCATTTCAGATTAACGCTGACAGCACTAGTGGGAACACAACGAATATGACTGCACATTTACTCCGACATCATCCTAGTGCAAAGACAAAAACAACAAGCAGCATGCTACAAACTTTACCCGAGTCATTTAGACAGCCGTTAGCACAGGATTCTCCTTATGGGGACCTGATATGTTTAATATGCTGCTGAGAATATAGCCCAGAAGAAGCGTATAGTAGAGCTTTTATTTTGGAAAGAGACATTTCTCTGTAATAAACTCTTTTCCAAAGATGAGAGATTTCTCCATTGGATTTATTTTTTTACTTTGTTGTTTCAGCAACATTAAATTTAAAAACTGCACGTTTGAGTTAAAATATATATTTATAATTTTAATAAATGACAAATTAAAAAGCATGAACATTTTTTTTGTATCGAAAAAATATCGAACCGTGACACCAAAGTATCGAACCGAACCGTGAATTTTGTGTATCGTTGCACCCCTACTAGGCACTGATGCCACAGGTGGCTGGGTGGAGTCCTGAGTGGTTCAGGGCCTCCACCTCCTGTAGACTCAATGATGTAGCAGCACACAGCCCTGAGGCCTGTCTGGGTCTAAAATCGCCTGCTGCTTGTAGTGAGGTGAAGTGGTGCAATACACCCTTTGCTCTTTAACGTGACGCATGTTGAAACTACAGGGTGCTGAAGGCGGACTACAAAAACTAAATCCTCTTCGATTTGTGGAGATGATATGAACGAGGCTGGCGTTGAGAGGAGGAGCGTCTGGGGTCGTATTCACCGACGTCAGCACAAACACTTCTTTGAATCCTGAGGCTCAGTTTGTCTGAAATCTGTGGTGTATGTGAGTCAAACACTCAGGATTTACCGAATTCAATCAAACATCCTGCGCGTGTTGTGGTCGCTGCTGCTGGGACGGTTCAGCATACGGGGACACTGAGTCCGACTGCACCATGTTCACCTCCACCCACACACGCTGAACTTTGTCCTCATAAATATCAGCAGCTGTAGGTCTGCTTCCACCTTAAAATACGTTAAGGACTGAGTGCCATCTCTCTCTCTTATTGGAGCTGACCTGTCAGTAACCATGGAGACCACAGCTGGACACAGCATCGCAGCTCGTCACGGGAGGCCAGATTATTTACGATGATGCTCGCGCGGACGTTTTCGCTTTGTGTCACACGCAGAAGGAAAACACACCTGCAGGGCCAAGCTCCAATCAGAGAGCTGCGCCACTGCACAGTCAGAGTGGGAGGGGAGGTGGAGGGCAGCTGCTCTGCTTGCATTGATGTGAGGAAATGATTCGATTCATCTTCATAAATGTCACGCCTCCTCCCGTTTGCTCCAAATGTCACCTCAGCTGCTTTCATGCGACTGTCAGATATCTCCTGGCCTCCTCCTCCTCCTCCTCCTCCCCCTCACCACCTCCCCCTCCTTGCCTCCTTAGATTGGAGAAGTTTGGTTTTAAAGGCGACGAGGAGGAGGAGGAAGATGAAGGTATCACCTGCAATCAGCTCATAAAGCCTCAGGAACAAAGCAGCCGCGGCTCCTCCCGATGCAGCTTTCATTTCCTGTGTGGCAGGAAATTGTCTCCGCACGCTGATAACCGCGGCTGCCATCATGGCCGTTTATCAGCCAACCATCAGCCGTCCATCACCTGCCCGCCCACAGGTTTAATAGAGGACTCCGCTCCTCTGTGCCCACAGCTGATGAAACCTCAAACTGAAGTTTAAGATCTGAAACGACCAATCAGAGCACGGCGCCATTCCAGACTCAAAGCTCATTAGGCCGAGAGCTGCAGATGTTTACAGTCGAACCAAACCACCCTCTCTGATGTCTGGCAGTCGGGGGGGCGGGGCCACAGCAGGATGTACAGGTGGGAATCATGTTTGATTTGTGGTCACATGACTTTCTGTGGGTGAAGGTCAGCTGTGTGACAGGATTTATGAACATAGGCAGGTATTTAAGGTGTGTGAGAGCAGGAAACACGCCCCTCACCTGCGGGAGTTGTATGGTCCGTCCAAGCCGGAGAGGGCGGAGCCGTGGAGCCTTTCTTACTCTTTATGTCCTACCTGTCACATGACACTCGACGTCAGCGGGAAATCGCTCAGGTGGGGTGACCAGGTGTGTCAGGGTGTTACGAGTTGAAATATTGAGGGTGAGCACAAAGACAACGATTGGTCCAGGAGAGTTAGGATGATTTAATGAACACACGCGTGGGGACATGAACACTGCACGCCGACAGCATCGATCTCCGCCCAACGATACACAAGCAGTTGTTTTCATAACATCAGGGTATTGTTTATGACGCCCCCTCACGCGTCAAACAGATACAACACATGCATACGTTTCAACACCACTAATGTTCTGTTGACGACTTTCGACACATTTAAAAGGACATCTTCTCCGTCTCGAGGCCAGGTGCTTCCTGTTAATAACTCTCGCTTATCTCCTGGAGCAAACTGTCCCTTAGGCAGACACAATTTTGCATCACAAGCTTTTGCAAACTATTATTTGAACTCTTACCTAAACATGAGTCTAACTACTGTGTGTGTGTGTCTCAACCTCCAAATGCACTCTGACCTTTTACCAGGCAGAAGCTCTCTGTCTCCTCTATTATCAGAAAACAAGGTCCTGACTCTGAAAACAGTATTTCTTATACCTCAGCAGTATCATGCATCATAAACAATATCATTCATTCACAATAAGCCAGCAGCCTAATGTAATGCAGTTTAACAAATGTAACTCAGGAGAATAATGCAAACTAAAACTACATAATAATTCACAGTCATTATTCAGGGGCATAACGTGGCATTAATATCACAATCTCACTGCTTTTAAACACGCAGGTCCCTGTGTGCGTGTATGTGTGCTCCTTTAAACATCTTTGTGGGGACCAGTAATTGGGAGGACCAAATGGCGGTCCTCAGCTGTGGTTAGGTCATTGTTGGGGTCAGGCATTAGCTCCTATTGGTTAGAGTGAGACAGCAGGTAAAGTGTTACATCAGCTCAATGTCCTCAAGGAGATGTGAAAATGAGTGTGTGTTTGTGTTCAGGTGTGTCTCTGAGCTGCTATGTGTGCTCTAATGATGTCACTCTGCTGCCAAAGTCTCCGCCCACCTGGAGACTGCTGTGGGTGGAGCTTACCCCCCCCCCCCCCCTCCTGGGGGAGTATTTTTGAGGAGGCGGGTCGGCAGCGGCTCACAGCTCCAGCAGCATCAGCAGCAGCATCCTCCTCTTCGTCCTCCTGAGCGGCGGCAGAGCGACAGGCTGGAGTCCTGGTACTCGTACACTCACTGGTTCCCGATGGCGTCGGGCCACGTGATGAAGGACGATGGCGAACCCATCCCCAGGATGCAACCGGCTATGATGATGTTCTCCAGCAAGTACTGGTCGCGGCGCGGGCTGTCGCTGGACTCGGCCATGTTTGACCAGCAGCATCAGCGGCAGCGGCACACCGGCGGACAGATGGTGAGGAGTCTTCATCCTCCTCCTTTTAGACTAACTGGGTACTTTTACTCGAGTACTGTAGCTGAGAGCAGCTTCAGGACTTTATTGATTGCTGATCAGGAGAAGATAATAAGAAACTCTTTATTTCTCAAATTCTGCTCCAAAAGTTCAAAGTCAAACTAATTATTTCTACTTTTAGTACTTTTTTACTTGAATTGGCTCATCACACAACCTTCTTGCTGAAGAGCCTTTGAGCAAGGCAGTAATCCCATCAGCTCAGAATATTCATCCAGGCAGCAGAAACAGATCAAACGATTTAAAAAGAACTGCCCAGAGTGATCAGATCAGTAACTGAAGATTCATCTCCACACTCTAGTTCGACCCTCTGCTTTATGGAGGAACAAATGTGCCAAAAGAAATCTACAGGAACTAATGAATCTGACATGAATTTATGTTACAGAGTTCTTTCTGTGATACTCGTTATTTACATTCACTTTAATTTATTTATTCCTTTTATTTCTGTTTTATCTCTGCACCATTCTCTCTATTTACATCTTTTTCTAATGGCAGGAAATCTGTCAAAGAAAAGCAGAAAAACAAATGCAAATACAATTTAAACTCTAGCATGAAACGGTCAGCCTAAAGTGATGTTTCTGGACTGTATTTAAGCAATATTTCTTCTTTTTCTCTGGGCCAACATGAAAAACCTGCAGTCAGGCTGATGGCTCTGCATCGTTTACATCACACGTTAAATATTCCCTCCATGCAGCTTTGCAGGCGGCATTTTCCTGCCAGTCGGCTCACAGGGATCGAAGTTCGTCCACGAAAAACAAAAACCGTCCACAATCCAGACACTGAAGAAGAGCGAAAGATAATGTCCAGGCTCAGCATGAGGTAAAGAGTAGACTCAGAGTACACACTCAGAGTTGTGTGTCCGTGCTCACTGTGGGGTCTTTGCTGTCAGAGTTCTGGGTAAGCAGCGTGTCGTCGGTTGTTAGGCTATGGGCTGTTTGTCCGAGCATCCGTCGGCAGCTCCACATCTTTATTTCATGACGCTAACAGCTGTCAGAGCAAGCTGCTTCACGCCGTTGCCACCGTGTGTTTGAACAGCAGTTCTGGGGAAATTTGTCGCCGTCTGCATCAGATAACGCTCCACGCCTTTATGAGGCCGGGCTATCAGAGCAAGCGATCATACTGATGGCGTTACTGAGAGGAAGTCACCCAACCAGAAACAGAACTGTGCTTTAGTTTACGCAGTGGAAACAAAAGCACGCAGGTAAAAAGGTTTAGGGTGGAGAAAAGGCTCCATCAGCTGATGAAGGTCAGGTGGCCAGCAGACACACTGGTACAGTTTAAATTCATTCACAGCAGCAGAAGCACCTCAGCCTGACTCCCGCTCAAACACTGCCCCCTGCTGGTGGGAGTCTGAGCTAAATCTGCACAGGACACAGACGACTCACCCTCCTCTGTCACTCCGACCCTCTGCATGTTCCCTTCACTGCATCCATGAACCTCCTCTGAGCTCTTCTCCTCCTGCCTGCAGCTTCTCCCTTCACCTTTCCTCCTCTGCACAGGCTCAGACCATCTCAGCCTCTCTGAGTCTGAGCCGTTCCCCTGATGACAGGATTCTGTCCACACTGCTCACTTCCAACAAACATCTGAGCATCTCCACATCTCCAAACCCCTGACACTCTTTCTCCACCCACTCCACCCTGCCTGCACGCTCCTCTTGGACCTGGAGGTGCTGCTTCCTGTCCCGTTGGACTGAGGGCTGACTCACTGTCGCCCCCTCAGGTGCAGGGTGGCATTAAAATCCACAGGAAAGGTGAAGGGAGAAGCTGCAGGCAGGAGGAGAAGAGCTCAGAGGAGGTTCATGGGAGGGCCTAATGAGCAGGGGCGGATCTAGAAGGGTGGCATGGGGTGGCAAGTGCCACCCTAAAATGATCCCTTGCCACCCCAGTTTTGCATATGACAGTGTTGTTTATTAAAATAAGATAGCATTAACAGTTTGAGCGTAGTTACAGTCAGCAGTGAATATAAATGCTAAAACTGAAAATATTGCATAGTGTCCCCCCTGCACCAGTAACAAATGGTTCAGCCCATAGCAGGACCGGCTTTTTTCTTGTTTTCAGCAGCAAGCGATGCTCATGATCGTGCCAGAGCACATTTTGAACAACACCATGGGAATTTTGGATTTTACACAGGTGGGTGGATGTTACACTGTGGAAATGGAAGGAAGGTTTGTGTTATTAACCCTCTGTGGTCCACGGACACGCTGCACCTCCAGATCACATGACTGATGTAAGCTGACACAGCAACAAGCTGCAGCCACGCTGAGTCTCTGTTTCAGCCACATTGAAAGTTCGGACTTCAAAGTTTTTAAATTTTAATTACAGGCCAGTAAATCCAGAGTTATGATCATATATATATCAGCCACGCTTCGTTCTAAATACTGTCGTCACGTGTGTGTTTTAAGCGTTTTGTAAGGACAGCACGAAAACAGGAAAGAAAGGAAAAAAGCCACCTCTTTCTTATTGGTGGAAAAATGCACCATGTCGACCAATTAAAAAAAAGTCAACATGTGGGATTTGGTTGTTTAGGAAGAGGGAAAAGTTTGGGGAGTGACGGTAACAGGGCGAGCGAGACAGAGCGAGAGAGAGAGTTTAGATGTGGCAGATTTGTGACGTTTAGTGTGTTGTGTAGTCGTTCTGTTGTGTAGTCGTTTTGTTTAGTGTGTCAGTGAGGGCACTAATGACTGTCAGAGGCACATTTGCAACGTAAACACTGTCACTAAGTAGAAAACCAGCGGAGTGATACACCTGCTGTTGTCGGGCCTGCAGGTTTGTCCCTGTGCTCTTTTGTCTTTTGGTGGACAAACTTGTTTTTACTGGCACACATCATTTGTGGGGCATCTTATTGCCACACCTGATTGTTCTCTCATTTTAGTTTTAGTAATATTTTTAAATGGTTGTAGAAAATGAAACAAACGGTGTATTGGCTGCATTTTTAGATAAATAGTTGTTTATGTTTATAAAATGTACGTTTTATATTTGCATTTCAAGTTATAAACATTTACCCAACATGTCTGTGTTTTTTTACAGTAAAAAAACAACTAAAGTCAGTTGAGCTGAATTTAGTTGTTTTTTGCCTGTAAAAAGGCAATTACAAGAAAATGGAACAAGATAGACCCACCATCACAGGACGAATGGATCAAAATTATAGATGAAATACAAACTATGGAAGAATTGACCTACAGAATAAGGACTCAGGAAGATCAATACCATAAAAAGTGGGAGAAATGGACTGAGTACATAAACCCAACAGGATAAAGACCAACACACTGATAATGAGAAATGATCAAACTGTAGAAACAAGGAGATCCAACATGGGTTTGTTTTGTTATCCTACCTGTTGTATTTATCTTTTTGTTGTTGTTGTTGTTTTGGTGTTTTGTTTTGTTGTTACCCCCCCGTATAATGTTTAAAGAAAAACAATAAAAAGAAAGTAAAAAAAATAAATAAATAAATTCAGTTGAGCTGAAAAGAAAAAATGAAATGAAACAATCTGAGGGTGAAATACAAACGTAAACTCAAAGGAGTCACAAATGTCCGGTTGTATTTCAGACCTCAGGGTTCATCCAACAAATCATGAAAAATGAGGTTTACATGTTTGTTCATGACGGTGCAGATTTCTGACATTTTGTGTAATTTAAGCTGCAACAATGTGACTGTTTTCTAACAAAAACAGTGAAACTTAAGTTAGACTTGTGTTTGTAAATGAAGCGCCCCATGTTGTGTAGCTTTCTAGTGTTTATACTTATTGGGCTACATATTTATTTATCATACAGGCTATACAGTACATAGCATCAAAACTCACATGTTTTATGTAACTAAAGTGTGTAATCATGTGGGCTACAGACAATAATTAAGTTATCAACTATATTTATATGAAAAACGTGCATACTTACTGCATTTGAATCATTTAACCACATGTAACCACCTGCATGAGTGTTTGGGGGGAAAAGGCTTTGATTTTGCCACCCCATTTGATTTCTTTGCCACCCTAAGAAAATTTCTCTAGATCCGCCCCTGCTAATGAGACCTCCATCGCATAGTCAGAGGCCTGATTGGTTGATGCTTCTAAACATCTGTTTTGGCTCTTTTCTCCTCTCCTCCTCCTCCTCTCCCTTAGCTTCCCTGCTTAGCCTCTTATGTCCTTGTCTAGTCTCGTGTTTTTTGTATTACTTTTCCCTGAAACACTCTCTCACAGTCTGTTCTCTAAAACCTAAAAGAGGAATTATGGATTTGATCAACTGGTCTCTGAATGCAATTGACACCCCTTCTCAACGAGAAGTCTGGGCTCGGGTGAGCCTGAGTGCTGAAGATATCTACCTATTCGGAACCATGGTAACAGGGTTCTTGCTGATCGGAGCTGGCTTGGCCCTGACTTATGGAAGAATTAAGGAAGCGGAACCGGCTGTTCAAACCCCCACAAGGCTGCCCGCTGGGATTGGAACGATGGGACGAGGCGTGAGTTTTTCAAAATGGGCTCATTGAGTGCAGCATGGATAAGATCTTGGAGAACGCACGGCTGCCATGAATACTCAGAACAAGACCTCTGAGTGAAAAACTGGATTACATCTGGAGGGGCTCGCTCGAATAACACCTTTGAGCGCAAATTGGATCACATCTTGGGGAAGTGCACTGCAGTCGTGAGTTCTCAGAACCTGCTCTTTGAGCAAAAGAATGACAATATCATGGAGCGTAAGTAACATCATAGAGCCTCCCCATGATGGTATCAAACTTCTGTTCCGTGGTGTTATCATTCTTGTGATTCTGAGACCCCACAACTGCAGTGAGCCGTTCTGCGATGTGATCCAACTTTCGCTCAAGGGTCTCATTTTGAGCAGGCCTCTCTTTGATGTATCCCAATATACGCTCAATGGTGTTGTTGAGTCTTCACGGCAGCTGTAAGCGTCTCCAAGGTGTTAGCCATGCTGCGTTCGTTGTGAGAGGTCGCGCCTCGTCCCATCGCTTCGATTCCAGCGAGCAGCCTTGGGGGGGTTTTGAACAGCTGGTTCTGCTCTCATAATTCTCCGATAAGCCAGGGCCAAGCCAGCTCAGATCAGCAAGAACCCTGTTATCATGGTTCCGAATAGGTAGATATCTTCAGCGTCCTCGATCGACAGTCCCGCCAGGCACATGATCCTCCGATTCTGCCACCCGTCCATCGTGTATCCGGCAGGGAAAGTCCCTCCAGGGCACTCGGGCTCTCCCGAGCCCAGACTTCTCGTTGAGAAAAGGGTGTCAATAGCATTCAGAGACCAGTTGATCAAATCCATAATTCCTCTTTTAGGTTTTAGAGAACGACAGTGAGAGACTGTTCCAGGGAAAGTAATGCACACGAGACAAGACAAGGACACAAGAGGCTAAGCAGGGAAGATAAGGGGAAGGAGGAGAGGAGAAAAGTGCGACCACCTTCGCCAAGAGATAAGCACGCACTCATCCCCCTCCCTTTCCAAACGCCTTCGATGCTTGTTTCCTGCGGGGGAACACGGCGGGTCTGTGTGCCGCGCTGGAATGGTAGCGCTGTGCAGGGCGGCTGCTGTGTTCGCTTCAGATTACTCCTCACCCCCCACCCAATCCTGTGGCTTGTCATGTCTTTCACAGAGTTGTACTGTGGACATTTATGTGCTTTTTGTGCAGAGGAGTTTTTTTGTTTCCTGTTCTTGTGCTGTCCTACCATGGAAGCACAGCATGAGTAGAGGTCTCTTTTTTTCCTCTTGTACTTTCCCATTGTAGTGTATATTTCAGTGTTTTTCTGTAACGCTACCGATCTCCGACTTGTATCCCCATGTGATGTCTGTGTTGTGTGTGTAAGGTTGGGGGGGGGGGCGGTCCCATTTCACTGCAGGGCAACCTTCATGTGGCGAATAAAGCTTTGATTGATTGATTGAAACGCTTCATTTTGTCACAATAACCTCACGTTCTTTGTCATGTTTGTGTTGTTGCTGTCAGTCGAGGCGTCCGTCCTTCTGTCCCATCAACGAGAAGCCGGACAAAGAGGGCACAGAGGATTCTGGGAAAACGGCAGTGGTGTTTTCTCTGAAGAACGAGGTCGGCTGTCTGGTCAAAGCTCTCAGACTGTTTCAGGTCAGGAAGCCCTCAAAAACAGATCACGCCTGAACCTCTGCCCCACCTCCATCTTCACCCTCTCTGTCCTCGCGTCCTCCTGCAGGAGAAGCACGTGAACCTGAACCACATCGAGTCTCGGATGTCGAAGCGAGTTCCTAACGAGGTGGAGATCTTTGCAGACTGCAGCTGCAGCAAGAAAGAGTTCAACGAGCTGCTGGAGCATCTCAAAGACCACGTCAACATCGTGTCCTTCAATACGCCAGCACATGTGTGGTGTGCTGAAGCAGGTATGAGCGCGCTCAGGCGCACACCTGGATTTCTGGAGGCTTTCTGCTTTTGTCTTAACAGCTACTGCTTTAGTTTTAGTCAACTAAATGTGATGCGATTACAGCAGACGTAATCTGAAGTTGATTCAGTGACTCAAATCTAAAATGTAAAATTTGTGTTTTGAGCGGTGAGTGATTCTCCACGATGTTTACAAAGACCGCGTCTCTTCTTCTCTCCCTCTTCTGTTACGTTTTCATGGGAGTGGGCTGAACCGCCCCTCCCTCGTTGTTTATCAGGAGCAGATGGAACGCTGCACAATGAGGTCACTTCCGATTGGATCACTTCACACTCACCCCACCTTTTCTGTAGTACCTGATTAGTTCTGATTGGATCTCTTCATCTTGTTTTGACTAAAGTGGCCAGTTTCTAGCCACGTGCATAAAACGGCAAAGGTGGAGGAGAAGAGAAGTCGTAGGTGTTCACGTGCCGTGGAGCGATATTTAAATGACCACGCCTGTTTTACCGCTGGAGAAGGCGTCCCCTTCACCAAAGAAACAAAAACAGGAAGGAAAGAGACTATGTCTTCGACATCTAAGCAAAATCATATTGTCTTCCTCCGCAGCTCAAGTTCATCTCCTGAGCTGAAGTCAGGGAGCTAATACATGAAAACATGCATAAACTCGCTCATTCATTCCTGATATTGTCACATTTTGCCAGTTAGTGTCCTAAAAATCACACTTTTCCCCTGATAAACAGTTTTGACATTTTCACATTGTAAAAGAGCAGCTAACACAGGCTAACAGAGGCTAAAAAAGCAGCCAACACAAGCTACTGCAGCTAACAGAGGCTAACAAAGCAGCCAACACAAGCTAAAAGCAGCTAAAACTGTAGCTAACAGAGGCTAACAAAGCAGTCAACACAAGCTAAAAGCAGCTAAAACTGCAGCTAACAGAGGTTAACAGAGGCTAACAAAGCAGCCAACACAAGCTAAAAGCAGCTAAAACTGCAGCTAACAGAGGCTAACAGAGGCTGAAAAAGCAACCAACACAAGCTAAAAGCAGCTAAAACTGCAGCTAACAGAGGCTAACAGAGGCTAAAAAAGCAGACAACACAAGCTAAAAGCAGCTAAAACTGCAGCTAACAGAGGCTAACAGAGGCTAAAAAAGCAGCCAACACAAGCTAAAAGCAGCTAAAACTGCAGCTAACACAGGCTAACAGAGGCTAAAAAAAAGCCAACACAAGCTAAAAGCAGCTAAAACTGCAGCTAACACAGGCTAACAGAGGCTAAAAAAAGCCAACACAAGCTAAAAGCAGCTAAAACTGCAGCTAACACAGGCTAACAGAGGCTAACAAAGCAGCCAACACAAGCTAAAAGCAGCTAAAACTGCAGCTAACAGAGGCTAACAGACACTAACAGCAGGTAGTGGACAACACTGTGAAATGAAAAGCTATCATACAGAATGTAAAGGTTTGACAGGCCGCAGTGTTTAAGCGTTGTGAGACTTCTCTGTGTTCTTCTCAGATGAAGACGAGGTTCCCTGGTTTCCCATGAAGATCTCCGAGTTGGATCAGTGCTCTCACAGAGTGCTGATGTACGGGTCCGAGCTGGACGCCGACCATCCCGTGAGTCGTTTCAGTTCAACTTTATTTATAAAGAACAGCTCACAGATGCCTGCAACGTGAGTTCATCTTGCATTCGAGACAAAGAGGGGGCCAGACTGCAGTGTTTAGGGCCTTTGTGTGCAGGTCAGGGTGTTAAGTTTCTCCTTCGGGTCTTCGGGCTCATCTCTGAGTTCACCTCTGGACCTCCTATAGCTGTTTTCATTCAAGAGGAAAACTTTAACTGAGTCTGCAGCTGTCCAGCCTGTAGGTGGCATAGATCAGGAAGTGAGACCTGCAGAATGAGTTCCTCCCCACAGGTTGAGGTGCTGAGTTCAATGTGCTGCTCATCTGCCCCCTCACGTGGAAGAGGCGGGGCTTTTTACACACACCTGCCCGCTCTTCGATCCACACAAAATAAATTCGTCTTTGGGGCTTCGACACACTGGAGGAGGTCCAGCTAACGTGTCAGATGTCAGCCTTTCTTGGTGGGACGTACGAGTGGCAGCAAAGCTGCGAGCAGCCCATAGGTGCACGCAGAGGTGGCAGAAAGCTGGGCATGATGGGATATCTGTACTCTGACTGTGTGTCCTCTTCCTTCCTGTCAGGGGTTTAAAGATAATGTTTATCGCCAGCGCAGGAAGTACTTTGTGGAAGTGGCCATGAATTATAAGTTGTAAGTATGTTCGTCCGTTCGTCGTGTTTTCTCGTGTTTCACCTCTCACGTGTTTCACGTCTCGCGTGCCCCTCCCCCCACAGCGGGCAGCCCATCCCTCGTATTGAGTACACGGAGGAGGAGGTGAAGACGTGGGGCGTGGTGTTCAGAGAGCTGACCAAACTGTATCCGACTCACGCCTGCAAAGAGTACCTGAAGAACCTGCCGCTGCTCACTGAGCACTGTGGCTATAGAGAGGACAACATCCCGCAGCTGGAGGACGTCTCACTATTCCTCAGAGGTACGTCTCTCTGAACACGTTCACCTGAGTCCAGGTGAGCGGCTTACCTGGACTCAGGTGACCCATGAGTCACATTACAGATTCCAGAAGTTCTGCTGAAACATGAAGCGGGCCAGAGCTGAACAGGATGATGACCTCACTTCCTGTGTGGCTTCCTGTGTGTTTCAGAGCGCTCTGGCTTCACCGTTCGCCCGGTGGCAGGTTATCTGTCTCCCAGAGACTTCCTGGCTGGTTTGGCCTACAGAGTCTTCAACTGCACTCAGTACATCCGGCACAGCACCGACCCGCTCTACACCCCCGAGCCGTGAGTACCTCCACCTCACATCCACCTTTCATCCATCTCTAGTTTGATGAGTTTGATGATTTCCAGCTCAGCATCACGCAGACAAAGAGGTGAAATCCACTCTGTGTATTCAGTAGTTGTAGTGATCCATCTTTCCTCCTCCTCCTCCTCTCAGAGATACGTGTCACGAGCTGCTGGGTCACGTCCCCCTACTGGCTGATCCAAAGTTTGCCCAGTTCTCTCAGGAGATCGGTCTGGCCTCCCTGGGAGCGTCTGACGAGGACGTTCAGAAACTCGCCACAGTGAGTTTCATCATCATGGTAACGCTGCAGAGGTTCGAATCCAGCTGTGGGAGGTTTACGGAAGACTTAGGATAAAAGAAATTGAAATAAGCCAGTAAAATAATAAATAAATATCTCTTTAAGAGTAATGGTACTAAAAATAGCAGCTGTATGAGATTAAATATTTTACACCCTATTACACGTTAATTATATTAATTTCGAAAATTATTTCTTCATGTTTTGTTTGAGAACGATGAGAGTCCTATTCTCACCTTATGTAATGATGAAGTGTCACCTGATGGTGGCGCTAGAAGAACATGTTTCATCACCAACATGTTTTAACTTTACAGCATCACTTTAAAGTGGATCTGTTCTGTTAGAGTAACAGAGTAAAAGTACTCAGTTACTTTGAAGCCCTGTAACTCAGTACAAAACAGAATCAACAACGCAAAGACATGCGCTCTAGAGACTCAGTTTCACACAGTTTTTTATAGTCATACATCTCCATGACATCACAGAGATGGGACAGAAGCCCCACCCAGCTGCTGCTCAGAGCTTCTGTTTGTGAGGGTTAGCGTGGTTACACCCCCTGTGGTGCAAAATGATATTACATGAAAGCACAGGCCATCTGAACAGCTGATGTCTCTAACACAGAGGTTTGGACATGATGCCATAGAAACCAGTTTTTAAAGGAACCAATCAGTGATCAATCAGTGATGGAGCCTCGTGTGTTTCAGTGTTATTTCTTCACCATCGAGTTCGGACTGTGCAAACAGGACGGTCAGCTGAGAGCTTATGGAGCCGGTTTACTGTCGTCTATTGGAGAGTTGAGGGTAACACACACAATGCACATACGCGCACGCACACACAGACGCACACACGCACGGTGGAAGTGATGTTTGTCTGCTGATGTTTTTCCCAGCATGCCCTGTCTGAAAAGGCATGTGTAAAGATGTTTGACCCGAAGACGACCTGCAACCAGGAGTGTCTCATCACCACCTTCCAAGAGGTTTACTTCGTGTCGGAGAGCTTCGAGGAGGCCAAGGAGAAGATGAGGTAAGCAGCGAGTAGTCACTGAACGCATCGTGAATGTTTTAAAGTCTGAACAGGAACTAAACTCCTGCCTGGACCGAGCCCGCCGTGACTTCCTGTGCGTGCTTCCTTTCCCGCAGAGAGTTTGCAAAGACGATAAAACGCCCGTTCTCGGTGTACTACAACCCGTACACTCAGAGCGTCGACCTGCTCAAAGACACCCGCAGCATCGAGGACGTGGTGCAGGACCTGCGCAGCGACCTCACCACTGTGTGCGACGCCCTGGGGAAGATGAACACCTATATGGGCATCTGAAGCTGGGGACGCACCACCAAGCTTCTGCAGAACATCAGCCGCCATCACGCGTCCATCTACGCCTCTGAGTCCAATGTAGCAACCACAGGAAGTTATTAGCTATCATACCGGCTCATAGTCTGTATCACAGCGCCACGAATCCATCAATGACGACTTACTGACCAGGTCAAAGGTCACCGAGACCATGCCCAAGCATCTGCAGGTGTTTCCTCATGAAGGCAGATCCAGGACGAGGAACGCTCCCTGTAAGGCTTCCCACGCCGATCCAAAGCTGCGTTCACACGAACCACAGAGCAAAGTTTCACCTCGCTGTGTGCAGCATTCACGTCCCCGTGTTGCTCCGTTTGACTGCCTGCAAAGAGTCAAAGGCCTGTTTTTGACACTTTCAAGCCATCTACGTTCGTCTGAATCCCGTCTCTTTCGCTGCATTTCGGGCTGAACTGCTGAAAAGCATGGCGGCGGTTAGCTCAGTACGATCAGCTCATCAGAGCAAGATGTCGTGAGTAAGAAGGATGTCCAATAAGACCCTCGCACATTGACTCACCTCTTTCAAAACCCCCTTCAGCCAACCGCCATCCATCGTAGAAATGAACTTTTGGTAAATTTTTGCCTCGACAACTTGTTTCTCCTTTACTTTGGCGCCAAACTGCACAGGCAACCATGGCACTCTCTCAGCTGTGTGATGGATCCACAGTTTGGCTCAAAGTGCGACTCCCGCCTCATTCGCGTTGCGATTCCTCTGGCGTCCGTCTGAGCTCTCTCCATACTTCCTGCCAGCAGGATCGGGTGAATACATTGTTTATTGGATCAAAACGCATTCGCCTCTCTTCTTGTTGTCTCGTTTTCGATGTCACAGCGTGAAAGCTTCCCTTCGTGCTTGGTGTGAACGCTCCGTCTGAAGGTCCTCCCCTCTGATGAGCTTTGAGGTCTCGTGACTATAGAGCATCAGTGAGTCATGTGATCTGACTGAGGGTTTGTGTGATTTGTGGACTGAACAGGCGGTGCTCTCAGCTGATTGGCCGCGGCTGACTGAACTTCCTGTGCTGCTGTGTTGCTTCTGTACACGCCTGTAAATGATGGACCATTAAAGCTCCCGAGTGTCGCAGGTCTCTGTGTCTTCATTTTTACCTGCAGTGAGAGCATCATGCCTGCACGAGCAGAGGGCGTCCGACGGGTGGGGCTACCTGTGGTTTTAGTCCAAGGTTACAGTCTGCTGAAGTCCTCTGACACTCACCCCCACCATGGTACAAACTCAGTGTGTCATCCAGATGTTTGTGGGTGGGGAACAGCTGGGGGCTTTAGGGTGTTCGAGAGATGTTTGACTTTTAACCGAGACTCAAAGTCATTCCATCAGAATTGGCTTTTCAGTGAGTTTGTGTCGGTGGGATGTGATCCTGTTTCCAGGCTTCATGGCCCCATGCCCAGCTTTAAGCCAGGTTTGAATCTGCTGCTCGTAGAAAGGAGAAGTGCCCTCTCTCTTTTAACCATGTTCAGACAGAGTGCAGGACGAAGGAGATGAGATGTGGAAGTACTTCAACTTTGTTACTGGGAACTTATGAAGAAGAGAATAAACATGAAACTAAGGTTAGACAGCAGGAATATGAGGAACAACACGACAAAGGATGCAGACAAAGGGTTTAAATTCACAAAAGCGAATGGGCAAAGTGGAGACACCTGGGGAACACAAGTGAACTGAATGTGACTAATGAAGCAGAACTGCACACGACACAAAGAAGTATCAAAATAAAACAGGAACTAACAGAACAGGTGACACTTCAATACCAACAGAAAGGTAAACCAACACAGGGACCAGACTGACGACTAAACACAGATAAGACATGAAGTAAATGTACACAACCTACAACTAAACACTGGGTGATGGTTACACTGAGAAAGAAAGCACATGATGACAAGCCTCAGACGAGACGACGAGGCTCCAGCTACAGCAGTGCAAGGAAACAAAGAGGAGTAAGAAAATAAATATACACTTTAGGACTCGGGGTAAAGGATCAATAACAATTTAAAATTTACAGTTTGATGATTTAAAGCCTCACACACAACCTGTGGAAAGGGGAGGGGCCCTGCTGCTTCCAGATAGAGCACATTTCATTCATAATGTTGTAAATCCAAGCCCATCATGGATTCATGATCTGAATCCTGGGTTGTGTGAAATCCCAGAAATGCACCTTAGACAAAGGGAGTCTGTGAACTAAGGTGTCGGTGTGTTAGGGTCTGTTAGGTTATGTTGTGGTGATCCTCGGGTTGGGGGATTTGTGTTCATGCTGGAGTGCAAAATTAAAACCAAGATGGACAAGAAAAGTTCAAAGCCATCAGGTGCTCAGTTTAGAAAAAAGAGAAAAGAAGAGGAGGAGAAACGAGCAACAGATGCAGGTAAGCAGATGTATGATTGGATAATGGCAGGTCATCCTGAACCAATCAGAATCAGAACACTTTATTAATCCCTGAGGAAAATATGTGAGTTACAGTTGCTCCAAGAAGAAATGGTAAAAATAGCAACAGTAACAGACTAAACTCCAAACAATACATTATGTTAAAGATTTTAATAGTAATCAGTCAGTGTCAGTTGTTGATTTGTCCTGTTCTCATTGTATGACGAATTATGATGGCTGTTTGGTAGCTGTTTGCATACTATGCATACTCTCTCTCTCTCCATATGTGTGTGTGTGTACAACAGTTTTATGTTAATGTACAATCCTTAATATGTTTTGCCTGTGTGTGTGTGTGTGGTGGTTGGGGGGGGGGGGGGGGGGGGGGGGCAGAGGGAGTGCTTGCCCAGCGCTCCAAACAGGCTAGGACCGCCAATGTCTGCAGCGTCACGGTTTAAACTGGGACGTTTCCTTTAAACCGACCCCCTTCCACACGGTTTGGTCTCATGAAAGAGGTGAAAGGGTTTTAAAGAGGTAGATGTGACTCATAAACACTTAAAAGTAAAGAGACAACCCTCTGAAGGATCATTAACAAATAACAGAAACTAAAGACATGTTTTTGTTGGTAAAATAAAGAATTCAGGTGGTTGACTTTTAGTTTCAGTGGACTGTGACGACAGACTGAAACGTTCACGATGTGTCACAGTCAGGCTACGGCACAGAAACACCTCTTCTGTGGAACCAGCTTCCAGTTTGGATTCAGGAGACAGACACTATCTCTACTTTCAAGATTAGGCTTCAAACTTTCCTTTTTGCTAAAGCATATAGTTAGGGCTGGACCAGGTGACCCTGAATCCTCCCTTAGTTATGCTGCAATAGACGTAGGCTGCTGGGGATTCCCATGATGCATTGAGTTTTTCCTTTCCAGTCACCTTCTTCACTCACTATGTGTTACAGACCTCTCTGCATTGAATCATATCTGTTATTAACCTCTGTCTCTCTTCCACAGCATGTCTTTATCATGTCTTCCTTCTCTCACCCCAACCAATCACAGCAGATGGCCCCGCCCCTCCCTGAGCCTGGTTCTGCCGGAGGTTTCTTCCTGTTAAAAGGGAGTTTTTCCTTCCCACTGTCGCCAAAGTGCTTGCTCATAGGGGGTCATATGATTGTTGGGGTTTCTCTGTATGTGTTATTGTGGGGTCTGGTTACAATATAAAGCACCTCGAGGTGACTGTTGTTGTGATTTGTATAAATAAAGTTGAATTGAACTGAATGAAGTCAGCACTCATAGACTCCTGTGTTAAGATCAACATGTTTACAGTCTGATACACAAACCGTTTGGTCTCTGTAGCTGATTGAAAGTTTGCATTGTTAGGGGCGTGGCCTCTTTGACTGACAGGTGGATGGTGACACAGGTGGCTGTAGCTGCTTGGCTGAGCTCTGCACCGCGTTTGTGCTGTTGGAGCCTTTTGGAGCATTTGTAATGACATCGTGTGACCAGTAACATGGCTGCTGCGAGGTCACTGACCGTCCAGGAAGGCGGAGCGAGAGTTTGATGGGTGTAAGAACTTCTCAGTTTACAAAGACTGTCAGTGACACTCAGTCAGCATGTGTGTTTTTCAAAAGTTTATTTTAAAAAATTCTACTTTTACAAAACAAATATGGCTCAAATACTTGAACTTTGACAGCGTGGTGACCTCCACCTGGAGATTCCTCTGAGGTTCGTGCGGCTCAGTCGATGCTGAAAGCTTCAGCCTGGACAGAGACAACATACCCAGAAATCGTTTTCATTTCACAGAAATCGCTTCAACATCAGTGAAAGTTAACAGTTCACGTTCTAACACATCTTCATGCTCACCCAGCCTCTGTGCTGCTCCACCCAAGCCGAGTGGTTCTCCTGAATGTACCGCTCTCCAAAGCTCAGCACCCTCCTCTGGTGGACCAGACTCGTGGCTGACAGCCTGCTGGTCACTTCGAAGACCAGAGCGATCTTCTGCCTCTGAATGTGAACCTCAGAGGGTGCCGCCCGCTCCGCCGGGTGGACCAGGCTCTGCACGCTGGAGGTGAGCTCCTTGAACATGTCATAGTCCAGGTCTCTGAGCTGCTGCTGGAGGTCCAGGTTCTGTTTGATCTGACAGAAATACACCGGTGTTCAGTACTGAGCTGCCTACCTGCCGCAGCCATCTACGCGTCTGATTCACCTTCCTGTCGATGTCGTCTCCCTCCGCTCTGATCAGCTCTACCAGCCTCTGGACGATGTCTGCGGCACAGCGAGACGCCTCGTTAGAACAGGCAGAGTAAAAGGACTCCGACATTCTCACCTTCACACAAGCGTCCTGCTGCCGCTTTGGACACTCACCATCCGTGTGCGCTGAGGTACTGAGCGTCCTGTTGTGCACCTCATCACAGGTGGAAGACTCACCTGAGAAACAAACTGAGCGGTCGGCGTGATGAGTCTGAGCCTCGACACGGACAGGACGTCAGAGAAACACCTGTTCACTCACCTTCTCCATCAAGTACAACCTGCAGAGACTTCTGGAAACTTGCACTGGGAGCTGGACCCTGAGGAAAGATAACTGACCAGAGAGCACACAGGTGAGCACACAGGTGAGCACATCAGAAGACCCACAGAGAATCTTTCCCGTGTTGGTGAGCAGAGGAAGGAGGAAGCACCAGCTGCGTGCTCACAGTTCAAACCAACCTGGGACGTTTCCTTTCACACGGCGGGCAGCAATCGTCCTCACTGCCATCTCAGGTGAGCGCTGTTTTGACCTCTTGCTGCAGTACTTTTCCAGCAGCTGGAACACCTCGCTGGTTTCCGTGGCATCTTCAGCTCGCTGGCTTGTCATTTTCAGCTGCTGAGAGTCAGAGCAGAAACCAGAGCTTACCAGAATATTTGAACGTCTGTATTTAAAATGAAATGAAGAAACAGAGACCTCCACCACGCTCGCTCTGTGCAGCATTCACAAATAAAGGAGCAGGAAGAGTCGGTCAGATAATAACTATTTACAGAAAAGTGGACATCAGTGTCTGAGCCTGTTTGGTGCAGGTGGGCACGGTGAGCACGCCATCAGCTGCCTGCTGTCAAAACCAATGCATGTTCTACTGCATTTTACTGTATTCTACTGAACTTCCTCTCCTAAATGCTGTACCAACTCAAACACAATAAACAGTTATCAGGTTTATGGGGCAGTTACTTTTGCACACAGGCAGGTAGGTTTGATCACTTTGTTCCCTTAATGAATAAATCATCCTTTAATTTCGGCATCTCTCTGGTGATGCCGGGTTAGGGCAGTGCGACCTGCTTCCTTTTACAGCCACTGTGTTTCCATCACCTCTCCACCGTGTCCTCCCACGCGGTTATTAAATGGTAAATGGCCTGTATTTATATAGCGCTTTGCTAGTCCCTAAGGACCCCAAAGCGCTTTACATCTCCAATCATCCACACATTCACACACTGGTGATGGCAGCTACATTGTAGCCACAGCCACCCTGGGGTGCACTGACACAGGCGAGGCTGCCGGACACTGGCGCCACCGGGCCCTCTGACCACCACCAGTAGGCAACGGGTGAAGTGTCTCGCCCAAGGACACAACGACCGAGACTGTCCAAGCCGGGGCTCGAACCGGCAACCTTCCGATTACAAGGCGACCTCCCAACTCTTGAGCCACGATCGCCCTTAAGAGCGAGGAATAACGGCTCGGGCTGCCGTGATGTTGGCACCTGACTCACCGTGTCCAGGACACCCGCGGAGGAGGAAGAGCGAACCTGTCGGATCAGCAGATCCTGGAGCTGCGACGCGAGCGAGAACACTTTTACTTTCACTTTGACGGAGAAACAGCTGATCAGCGTCACAGCGCAGAAGAACCGAGTCTGCGCAGGTGCTTCCTCTAAAACTGCGCCCTGCTGCCGCCCTGAGCCAGGCACGTGATCATGCAGGGGTGGAGACACGCAGCTGGGGGGGGGGTAGTTTTGTGGTCAGGTTTCCTGTTTTTCTAAAGTCTGGCTTTCATTTTTATTTCCGTCACTGAGACTGGTTTTATTTTTACTTTAGTCTCAGTTCCTTCTGAGCACCATAGGTCAAAGTTCAGCTGTGCAGATGAGTCACAGCTTGATTTATCCTGTTAAACCGCAGCAAGCATCGTCTGAACCACGTCTGCCTCCCTGATCCTGGTTCTGCTGGAGGTCTTCTTCCTCCCCTCTGTCACAGAAAGCTGCTCAGAGGGCTCGTCTGAGTTCCTCTCTAACACTGTGAAGCATGTCAAGGTAAATCTAATAAAGACTACTCAGTGGTGTCTGCCTGTGACCTCTGACCTGCCTGTGCACCTGCAGATGGACATTAAAGCTTAAAGAGCTTTCAGAGCTCCCCCTAGAGGAGCAGAGAGGAGCTGCATGCAAAACACTGCTTTCTGCTAGCTAACTCCACCCGCCTGCTGCTCCGCAGCCATGAAACAAGCACCTCTCTCACACACCATTTACGACACACTGGTCTTTCATTTCACTTCCTCTTCAGCATGTTTGCTGAAGTCGACTTCCTCCTGCCTGCACTCGTCTGTCAGCACGCAAACGTGCAGCACGTTCTTCTGTTAGCGACGCTCGGCAGGCCCGCTTGGGCCTTTTTAACCCCTCACTCACCTGCAGGAGCCACACTGGCAGCTTTGATCTTTACAGGAATAAAAAAATCCAAAAGAGATGAAGCAGAGCCAGAAAACACAGCTGCCCATCACTGAGTGAACATCAGGAGGATAAGCGAGCTTCTCTGGCCTCAGATCAGCAGTTTGGACCCGATGGCAGAAGCTCAGCAGGGAGCCCAAGACCTGACTGAGGTGGACACAATGACTCCAGGTTCTGTCATCTTTCACCTTTAACCTTCCTCTTCTTCATTCTTCTGTCTGAACTGAGACGTCAAACTTTTAGGTCAAGTCTCACTCACATTTCAGACCTCCACCCGAGTAAACAGTGACGCTGAGCTTTAATCTGGCAGATATTTATGTGTTTGCAGCCAATGATTCACGTCAGAAACAGTGAAAAGAGGAGCTGGTAGGGAGGTGGGTTTCAAAGAGGCTGGCAGCTGCTAAAGCAGCACGTAGAGTCAAAGAGGCCCCGCCCCTAATAATGCAGCCTTTCCACAGGTGTGCCAGTCCAGCAGTGGGTGCTGACTCGCTGTGTTTGCTGTTTCAGAGGACTTGCCTGGCTCTTCCAGTTTAACCACTAAGGAGCTGCAGCAGAACTGGAGGGCGGTGAAGCAGCGAGAGCGACCCGTCCGGCTGCTCTTTGAGATCCCCTCCACCCGCATCGTCGAGCACATGCTACACAAATACGTGGTGAGACACCGAAACACACCCACCAGCCGACTCCAAACACTCTGCTCAGCAGTTTTTATACTCTTGGATCCCTGTGATGTCATAGAGGTGAAATACCTTCTGTTTTTGAGGGACAGCCAATCAGAAGAGATTCTTTCAGACAGAGGATGAGGATGAGGGGCAAAGCGGCTAACCTGTAAATGTTCCCAGCTAACTTTCAGTGAAGGTGAGCCCGCAGGAAGTGAAAGTTTAACCTGAGGAGGAGGGGCTTATTTTCCAAAGGTGTGGCTGTTGGAGCAGGAAGCAGTAAAGGTGAACTCTGGTCATAAGAGGCACTGGCTGAGCAGTGAAATCTTTATATGAAGACATATTTGAGATAATAAGCAACCCAAAGACCAGCTTTAACACACCTGCCTGCACTCACCTGTCCACCTGCTGTGCGGTCCCAACAGTTTCCCTGCCTGCCACTGTCAGGTGTGTTCATTTTAAACCTCAAACATGTAAAACTCAGTCAGGGAGCTGTTCATTGATGAGTGCAGGTAACCGATGCCGTGCGGTCACAGAAGCTAATGTGCTCCATAATGAAGGAAATATTCAAACTGACACATCAGCAACTTTCTGCTTGTCTATGGTGCCCCAGAGGACCAAAACACAGCATCATCATCAGGACGAAGCACATAGTCCCTTAGTTATGGTGCAATAGGTGTAGGCTGCTGGGTGATTCCCATGATGCACTGGGTGTTTAATCATTGGTTATTATTAACTTCTGTCTCTCTTCTGTCTTCCTTCTCTCACCTCAACCAATCACAGCAGATGGCCCCGCCCCTCCCTGAGCCTGGTTCTGCTGGAGGTTTCTTCCTGTTAAAAGGGAGTTTTTCCTTCCCACTGTCGCCAAAGTGCTGCTCATAGGGGTCACATGACTGTTGGGGGTTCTCTGTTTTCTTTGTATGGTTGTAGAGTCTTTATGTTACAGTGTAAAGCACCTCGAGGTGATCGGTCGTGATTCGGTGTTGTATGAATGAATGTAATCGTCAGCATAACGTCTCAGAGAAAAGACGCCTGCGGTGGGTTCACCGTTGAGAGGGAACAGGAAGTCCAGCCTGTTTCTCTGACTGGCTGTTTGCGCTGCAGCAGAGTTAACTTTAAACTTTAAAGGTCAAAGGTCACGGTTCTTTCTGTTTGTTTGCAGCTCTACCAGGTGGTGGTGATGCGTTCTGGCAGCTTCGATTCCCGCCGTGTTTCGGTGGAGCGCCGCTACAGCGACTTCTCCCGCTTCCACCACAAACTGCTGGAGGAGTTTGACGAGGAGCTGGAGGAGGTGCAGCTGCCTCGCAAGATGCTCTCGGGGAACTTCTCCCCCGAGAGCATCGGGGAGCGGCGCCTGGCGCTGCAGGACTACCTGGCGAAGCTGTACGCCACGCGCTGCGTCAGACACTCGCCTTGCTTCTCGGCTTTCTTCACAGAGCAGGAGCAGCAGCGGGCGCACGGCCTGCTCCGGGCGGGGCAGTTCCGGCCAGCCGCAGAGCTGCTGCAGACCGTGCTGGACATCCAGGAGAAGCTGCTGCCCTGGCAGAAGCCCACCCTCCTCGTGCCCGCCCTCGCCGCCCTCGCTGTCTGCTACCGGGACCTGGACGAACCGGAGCGGGCGTTCTCCGCCGCTCAGAGAGCGCTGCCTCCGGTGAGGCGCTACGGACTGACGCGCTACAGAGCGCCGCTGCTGGAGCTGCTGGTGGACCTCGGGTACCAATTGGGCCGGCCCGTGGCTCAGCTGCAGGATGAGTTGACCGCTCTGAGAGATGCCGAGCGTGGGGAAGCGTCCTCCCACTCTCTGAAGGAGGTAGTGATCCAGGAGTTCCTCTGAGGGTGGAGCGGCCATCCACACCTGGATTAGCAGGTAAACCCCTGCACAGCCCCTGCCAGCTGTGGAGGTGTAACAGCTCACAGTGGGTCAGAGTACCCAGAGTACTGCAGTACTGTCCTGCAATAAAGTATTTAAAAGTAATTTTGGTATTGGGTCTGATTCATGATGTTTGATGATTAGCGATTAATGGCTGACTCTACCATGGAAATCTGACCACACAGTACTGAAGCCGCGTCTTTGGTCATCCTGTGGTAGCTCTGGGTGGGGGTCAGCACCTGCTGCTCCAGGATCAGATCTCCGATCTGCTTTCAGTTGCTGCTCTTTGGAACAAGCTGCTGCTCACCTGAGATCAGTTACGACTGTGTGTACATTCAAAAACAGAACAAAGACCTTTTCGTTCACGCAGCTGTTTTTGTGTTTTGCTGTTTTTGCTCAGTTCAGTTGGAACCGTCTGTGTACTGCAAACGTTACAACAGGTTAAATCATCAGATTCAAGTTCGCTGTATCTCTCATGTTAATGAGCCAAAGTGCAAACTGTTCAGGTCTCACTATGTCACTTAGCTTGTTTATGTGCCCTGTATAGCTAACATCATCAGAGATTATGAGCTAATCTGAGATTTGGATTATCTGTTTATCATCCATAAGAGACCCATCTTACTGTAAACATCATTTTTGCACGTGCATATTTACATGAGTATGTAAACAGATCCTGGAGCGTTAGCTTTTATCGATGTGTTTGTGAGCACAGGGCGAAAACCAACAGGTGAGTGGGGGTGTGGCCAAAGTCAGCACTGTAGTTATGATGCCAGGTTAGCTTCTGTTTGAGTACATTTGTTAATGACAACAGGGAACTGTCCGTGTTCTCGTGTTCTCTCCGGCTTCCTCCCAAACACATGAATAATAATACGTTTGATTTAAAGTCACCTCACAGAAACATGAATATAACATCAGTAAGGACAGAGGAGTCATGTGACAGGTGGAAGGAAGTGTGCTCTGAGAGGCTGGAAAGTGGAGAGTGATGGACGGAGGACCTGAGAGGGCGAAGATGTGTTCAGAGAAGAACAGTAGAGACTTAAAGGTGGAGAAGGTGGAGAAGCTTGAACTTGAACAGTGTTTAACCGCAGCCGGTGGAGTTGGTGGAGCACGGGTGTGACGGACTGACGGAGGAGTTCTGGTGATGACGGAAGCAGCAGAGCTGAGGATGAAGGTGCTGCTTGAACCTGACAGGAGACCCAGAAACATGTATGCTCTCAGAAACATGCCATGGAAAGTAATTAACTGAGTGTAATTTCTGGTTTTCTCCTTTCATTTCTTATCTTCTTCTCTTGATCTTTTACTTTTAAAATTATTGAAGTTGTTTAAAAGAGGACAAATACCAATATGATCCCTAAGTTGTTTGTAATGGTTTACATTCCCAGTGCTTTTACCTTGTAAGGTAAATGGCCTGTATTTGTTTAGCTCTTTTACTAGTCCCGCCTAGGGACCCCACAGCGCTTCACACACCCAGTCATCCACTCATTCACACACTGGTGGAGGCAGCTACAGTTGTAGCCACAGCTGCCCTGGGGCAGACTGACAGAAGCAAGGATGCCATATCGCGCCATCGGCCCTTCTGGCCATCGCCAGTAGGCGGTAGGTGAAGCGTCTTGCCCACGACCGAGACTGTCCGAGCCGGGGCTCGAACCGGCCACCTTCCGATTACAAGGCGAACTCCCAACTCTTGAGCCATGGTCGCCCGTAAGGGTTTAAAAAAGTGGTAACTAGACCTGTTCAAGTATGTTTACAGAAAACCACACAGGCAAAAAGAAATGAACTTTGTTCTACAATCATTAGATATAATTTCCAAGATCTAATTCCAAATAACTCCGACTTTATACAGATGGATGATGTGCACATGTGATTAATGACATTAGTTGGATTAACACAAATAAAATCCCTCACAGATCATACCTGATTCCCAGTTACAGTATCCTATGAGATATAGCAGAACTCGATCATGTGATTTGGTAACAGTCAATGATGTCAGCAGAGGACTGGAGAAGCGTGATTTGTTTACTGGTAAGTTACCTTTCCTTCTAAATAACTGATTCTTCCATTTTTTTCATCCTGTTTCCTAAATCAGCCCATAGATCAGAACTCTTAATTACTCAAACACAGTGAGGGCTTTTTTTCTTCGTGCCTTTGGAAATCAGTGGGCGATCGTGGCTCAAGAGTTGCCAGTTCGTCTTGTAATCAGAAGGTGGCTGGTTCGATCCCCGGCTTGGACAGTCTCGGTCGTTGTGTCCTTGGGCAAGACACTTCACCTGTTGCCGGGTGGCGCCAGTGTCCGGCAGCCTCTGTCAGTGCGCCCCAGGGCAGCTGTGGCTACAATGTAGCTGCCATCAGCAATGTGTGGATGACTGAATGTACTGTGAGGAGCTTTGGGGTCCATAGGGACTAAGTAAAGTGCTATACAAATACAGCCATTTACCATTTTAACTCATGCTGTAGATCCTACACATAATTTGTGCTCCATGCTGTGGAAATGCAGATGTGAGGTGTTCATCACAAGGAAGCACCCTTTGGTCCTCTCTAGAGCCAACAAGCTGAACATCCTATAGACGAACCAAGAGCAGTTTCTCTTCGTGATGCACTGATATTTCACACATGATAATAAACCCAGTGAACCCTTATGCAGCGTGCATGCAGGGGAAGAGGACAGAGTTGGCCACCTTCTCCATGGCCAGGTTCCTGTTGGAACCCAGGGGACCTCAGCATGTTGGCCACAAACTGAGCCTAGCACAGCAGTTAGTGCACACCTGGGGAAGAAGACATGTATGTTCATGACAGGTGTTTATTAAAATGTTAATCTTCACAGTTATGCTTCTGCATACACGCATGGACGAGTGGATCAAAAAGACAAAAACGACATTTTACAGGAGGCAACAACCAGTTCTGGTTAAGTTACAGGCTGGACTGTACACGCCAGGTGTCCAGACTGGCACTGGAGGACTGGGGGGAGGGCAAAGTCCAACTCGAACTGGCTCGCTATGTCACTGTTGGGATCTGTGGTGCCTGAAAGGGTGGGTACGGGCTGAGAGGGAGGGCACTCACAGCCGGAGCAGAGGTATTGTAAAGTAGAGCAACAATGGTGATCAATATGGCGGTTTACTGAGTCAGCGCCTTGTTAGCTTAGCTGGTGTGTGAACATGCTAAGAAACGGTACCCTTCCATTTCCCCCCACTCACACCAGTTAGTAAACGTTAACAACATCGCATAGAAACAGAATTCAAGAGTAACTACTGGAGAAATACAAAGAGGGCATGACATTTTTATAAAGAGACCAACAAAGACAAATAAATTCTGTCAATGTGAACCAATTATAAGGTGGTCACTTTTTTCATCATTTGGCAAAGAAAACCAGATCTCAAATCAAATCACTTTTATTGTCACATCACTAGTGTTGGTCAAGTTACTTGAAAAAAGTAATCAGTAACTAATTACTGATTACTTCCCCCAAAAAGTAATCCCATTACTTTACTGATTACTTATTTTCAAAAGTAATTAATTACTTAGTTACTTAGTTACTTTTTAAAAACACGATTTACAACCTGAGTAGGTGATAAAGCGATAGATCTTTCAGCCCAATTCTACTTTTTCTACATAATCATCATACAAAATGTAATCAAATGGAAAAGTCTCTTTTTAAAACTTGTTTTATTAGTTTTAATCTTTTAACTTTATGCATCAAGCAAAAATGTAATTATATGCAACATTCTCTGACTGGAAGAAATTAGTTTAACATTTAAACCTATTTTCTGCACATTCCAGCACATAAAATAAAATATTTTGTGTGTTTACACTCACTCTTTCAAATAGATGCAAGTAAAACACAGCAGAAAATAAATAAAGTCACAGACTCAGCGGTCCTGTTGCTCTATTTTCACCTGTAAAGCAGGAGTGGGGCAGGCGGAGGTTTACCCTGGTGCAGGTGTGCTGCGGTCAGTGGAAGAATCCAATTTCTCTGTGAGTTTCCCATTACGTCGTAGCTACTCGGTGCTTGTTGGAAGTTTAGGGGTTTTTTTCGCTGTAAAAAGAAGTTTTCTTCCCACGCACAGCGGACACTAATGTTTTTGTCACTTTTTATGGAATCAAAATCAAAGTAAGGTCAGTACTTCCACGCTTTAAACGCTGCAGCTCATACTCTCTCTGCACTCGATATATGATCCATTGTTGATCTGCACACAGCTGTTGTCACGAACGTCGCACTCGCTTACGTCACTGTCGTGAGACATTCTCGCAAAAAAAAATATCACGGTTTTAGTAACGCAGTAACGCAGCGTTCCTACGGGAAAGTAACGGTAATCTAATTACCGTTTTTGCAATAGTAATCCCTTACTATGGGCAGTAACGCGTTACTGCCCATCTCTGCACATCACATGTGCAGGTATTCTGGTACAGTACATGCGAGTGAAATTCTTGTGTGCGAGCTTCACAAGCAACAGAGGTGTGCAAAAATACAATAACATAAGAACAAGCAAAATATAAGAATGGCTAAATCTGAGACTAATAAATATATGTACAATATATAATAGTATATGCATTACTGGATGGATGTATACTAAACGTGTGTTTCTACGTGTGTGTGTGTGTGTGTGTGTGTGTGTGTGTGTACACATTTTACAAATTAAATAGAGTCAACAATAAAATAAAATATATAAAAATATACAGAGTTGGAGGCAAGCCTCCGCGTACAGTCAAGTATGCTGCTCAATTAAATGTAAGTAAATGTAAAACACTTGCTTCTAAATGCACTTTTATTGCACCATGCTCATTCAGTCATGAGCTACTGTAACATGACTCAAATGGCTGATTTGCCACCTCAGCATGCAGTCACGTTCTACAGAGTCTTCCTAATAACCTGCTAATTGAATTGAGGTGTGTTGCAGCAGGGACACATGCAAAAGTTTCAGGACAGCGGCCCTCGAGGGCTGGAGTTTGGCACCTGTGTTTTAGGTAACTCAACTTTTTTTGTCATTAAATATCAAAATATCCTCGTGTGTAATGATGACAGAACAGTTGGTGGGGCTATATCTGTGCAGTTAAATTCTACATCATAAACTCCAACAATCAAATGACCCCTTATGAGCAAGAACTAGGCG